TGTGTGTGCGTGTGCGTGTGTGTTTGTGTGTGTGCTTGTGTGTTTGTGTGTCGGTGTGCTTGTGTGTCGGTGTGCTTGTGTGTTTGTGTGTCGGTGTGCTTGTGTGTTTGTGTGTCGGTGTGTTTGTGTGCTTGTGTGTCGGTGTGTTTGTGTGCTTGTGTGTGTTTGTGTGTGTGCTTGTGTGTTTGTGTGTGTGCTTGTGTGTGTTTGTGTGTCGGTGTGTTTGTGTGTGTGTTTGTGTGCCGGGGTGTTTGTGTGTGTTTGTGTGCCGGTGTGTTTGTGTGTCGGTGTGCTTGTGTGTCGGTGTGCTTGTGTGTTTGTGTGCTTGTGTTTGTGTGTCGGTGTGCTTGTGTGCTTGTGTGTGTGTGTGTGCTTGTGTGTGTTTGTGTGTGTGTGCTTGTGTGCTTGTGTGTGTTTGTGTGTGTTTGTGTCGGTGTGTGTGTGTTTGTGTGTGTTTGTGTGTCGGTGTGCTTGTGTGCCGGTGTGCTTGTGTGTTTGTGTGCTTGTGTGTTTGTGTGCTTGTGTGTTTGTGTGCTTGTGTGTCGGTGTGTTTGTGTGCTTGTGTGTCGGTGTGTTTGTGTGCTTGTGTGTGTTTGTGTGTGTGCTTGTGTGTTTGTGTGTGTGTTTGTGTGTGTGTTTGTGTGCCGGTGTGTTTGTGTGTGTGTTTGTGTGCCGGAGTGTTTGTGTGTGTTTGTGTGCTTGTGTGTGTTTGTGTGTCGGTGTGTTTGTGTGTGTTTGTGTGCCGGTGTGTTTGTGTGTGTTTGTGTGCCGGTGTGTTTGTGTGTCGGTGTGCTTGTGTGTCGGTGTGCTTGTGTGTTTGTGTGCTTGTGTTTGTGTGTCGGTGTGCTTGTGTGTTTGTGTGCTTGTGTGTGTTTGTGTGCTTGTGTGTGTTTGTATGTGTGCTTGTGTGCTTGTGTGTGTTTGTGTGTGTTTGTGTCGGTGTGTGTGTGTTTGTGTGTGTTTGTGTGCCGGTGTGTTTGTGTGTCGGTGTGCTTGTGTGTGTTTGTGTGTGTGCTTGTGTGTCGGTGTGCTTTGTGTGTTGTGGGGAGCGGAAGCGCAACGTTTGGCGCGCCGCGCTACGAACTTGGCGATTCGAGTTCGATTGCCGCTCACGGCCAACGCCAGCGACGATTATTTTCACCGGTATTGCCTCCCCCCCCCCCCAGGTCGACTCAGCCGCAAATGAGGACCTGGTGCCGTGTGTAAACTTTGCACCTCGGGAGACAAAGGCGGTCGGGCGTGGCGCTGGCCACCCACACCCCCTCGTGTGCCGTGCCGGCCTTCATAAGTGCTCGCTAACAGCACTTGCCCCAAACGTTTGTTAAGGCTACACTGGCGATCTCTGTCTTTGTATACGCGTATGGGAATCAGTGGCGCAGTGGTTGACGCACGGCGCTACGAACCCCGCGATCCGAGTTCGATTCCCGTTCACGGCCAACGTCGGTGGGCGAATATCTGAACTGGTCCTGGACCTCCCCTAGGTCGACTGTGCGCCTGGTGCTGTGTATGCCCGGTGCTGTGTGCGCCTGGTGCTGTGTATGCCTGGTGGGGTGTGCGCCTGGTGCTGTGTATGCCTGGTGGGGTGTGCGCCTAGTGCTGCGTGTACAACATCAGCAGCATGGGAGAGACAAAGGTCGCCAGGCGTGGTGCTGCCCCCCCCCCCCGCCACCAATTCCGACATGAACAGGTGCTCAGCTAACAGCACTTACTCCAGCAGCCTATGAAGGCTATGTGGGGAAATATTTGTGTGTGCATGTTGTGATGGGTGGCTCAGATGCTTCAGGCACTACCTTGGTGTTGTTTGCAAAAACAAAAGGAATTCCGCAAAGCACGTGCGCGGTCACAGCTGTTTACGCGCGGACCCTGCTGCGTGGGATAAACGGAGGGGGATTTGCTTTCAACCATCGGTCAGGATCATTCTGCTGCTGGATGATGAGCGTCTCTCCACCTGCCTCCGTCACCAAGTCATTGGCATTGCTGGCGATGCTGTAAACAATTAAAAATATATTTTAAAAAATCGTTCCGTCGCAGGGGTGAATGTCCTCTAGGTCGTGTTCTCAACTTTGTGGGGAGCGGTGGTGTAGCGGTTAGCGCGCTGCGCTATAAACCTGGCGACCCGGGTTCGATTCCCGCTCACGGCCAACACCAGTGATTATTATCTGAACCGGTCCCGGGCCCCCCCTAGGTCAACTCAGTCTCAAATGAGTACCTGGAGCGGTGTGTAAACATCGCGACTAGGGAGACAAAGGCGGTCGGGCGTGGTGCTGGCCACCCACCCCCTCGTGTACCGTTTCGGCCTTCATAGGTGCTCGCTAACAGCACTTGCCCCTACAGTCTGTTAAGGCTACACGGGGGGTCTTTGTCTTTGTTCTCAACTTTGACTGCCACTGTCGTTCGTCTCGACCGTCAGCTTTCATCTCTGCTCGCAAAGTTTTCCCACTCAAGCCCCACTTTTCTTACCAACCAATACGACGTCTTAAAGTGAATGAAATAAGTATAAAGTGATTAAAATTATAGAAATTAAACAAAAACCAGAACGCTTCGATCACAACACAATCGATCGTCTTTCCTCCTGAAGACGATCGCTTGTGTTGTGATCGAAACGTCCTGGTTTATTTTTTCATTCACTTTATTTTTTATTACTATTATTATTCTATCTTCGTGACTTTACCGAAAGAACCAAAGAATATGAATTCCTGCAGTCACGAAACTTTTAAATGAAAACTTGCAAATGTTCTCTGACCCGTATTTTTCCTCTGTGTTCCTTCCATATTACAAACATACCTCGGTGCACTCTTCATTTGATATTCCATTGTCTGTGTCAGTGTCCATATTACACACAAAGTTCTTTCCACAAATGAACCATACTACCTGGCTGATCTCGTCATGGAGCATACACCATCACATGAACTCCGGTCATCCTCACAGCGGCTTTTTGCTCGACATCGAACAAAGACGGACATTGCATACTTTCAGATGCGCTTCTGCGGCCGTCTGGAATGCTCTTCCTTCCGACATTAGGCAGCCACTGGAGCTGTGCACTTTTAAATCTATATTGAAAACACATTTGTTTAGAATATTTTTTTGCGTGTGTTAGTTTGTTGTCCTCCCCCCGCACCTCCGATTAGCAGGGTTGGCTACGTACGTTGCGAAATCAGTTCAACATACACGCATATTTCTTATGGCAGGTATATTATAAATTGATTAAACCCTCTCTACTTTAGGCACATTGCTGTTGCTTTTCACTGAGTTCATCTTTCCAAGAGGACTCCAAATGGTCACTTAAGCTGACTTTACAACTACAGCTAATAGAAAGAAAAAAGCCATATCATGAGGAGGCAAATATGTATTTTCACATGCGTTCAGTGTAGCGAAGGGGCTGCCCTCACCGTGCCAAAAACTACCAAGCGCTGAGTGCCAAGTCCAAGAATTTGCATGCGAGGTTGCCAACAATAATTTACACACACTTGCCTGCCACACACACGCCTGCCACACACACACACTCGCCTGCCACACACACACACACTCGCCTGCCACACACTCGCCTGCCACACACACACACTCGCCTGCCACACACACACTCGCCTGCCACACACACTCGCCTGCCACACACACACACACTCGCCTGCCACACACACTCGCCTGCCACACACACTCGCCTGCCACACACACACTCGCCTGCCACACACACTCGCCTGCCACACACACTCGCCTGCCACACACTCGCCTGCCACACACTCGCCTGCCACACACTCGCCTGCCACACACTCACCTGCCACACACACACTCGCCTGCCACACACACACTCGCCTGCCACACACACACTCGCCTGCGAGTGTGTGTGTGGCATTTATTGGGCGTTTTTCCCAAGTGTGCTGTAATGCCACGTTACCGAATCCTGGCATCATCATGGGCCACGTTTGATGTCGCATGCCGTGCCGTCTCCATCCCTCCCACGTGTTTTTCAACGTTGCGCCACGATGCCCGACGTTTCGCGCCGATCAACGTGCGGTACAACCTGAAAACGCGTCAGGGAAGGTTTTTTTTGTATTGGTGGCCCACGGAGCCCGCTCTGAGCAGACCATTTTCCGGAGCAGATATTGAAATGGTGGTTGAATGTCCCTCGCCAGTATCCATTTACACTAAAGACTACGGGGTAAATACGCTTAAATAACATCAGCAAACAAGAGGAATGCGTAACCATGTAACGCCGCCGTTGGATTACTTTGTATTAAATATATCTGGAAGAAAAATAATGAAACATTCCACGGGCATTTTCTCATTCGAGTTGTGCCACAGTGACTCATCCACTCCGCCCTTCCCCTCTTGTGTGTTAATCGATTCTTATTAACAACCCGAGCTACTTCATCAATACACTGCTCAAATTCAATTTGAAGCAAACGCAAATTACTGTTTTGGCAGTGATGTACGGGCATTATTGAGGGTGATAATTCACCGCATTCATCGTCGTCGTCGTCAAACATTCTCTCGCAACAGAGACATACGTGGATGGGTTTGTGTTTCTATGTGGTGGAGCGTTGGGCACAGTGGTTAGCACACTGCACGATGAACCTGGCCCAACTTGAGTTTAGATTCCCAGTCGCAGCTAACGTCAGTGGTGAGCGACATCCGACAGTCTTGGACCCCACCTTCAGCAACCTGCACTGACCTCTGCGATGGTGAAGTTTGGTCATTCAGCAGTGGATTAACAAAAGGCTGTAGTTTATAAATAGTATCGATAAATGAACGTCTCTCAAGAAGGGTACTTTCCCTAATGTGTTGACCTTTCATACACTTTTCCGTTTGTGAATCAGCATGAAGAACATCGTGGACTTCACTTTGTGTTGCTTGCACCTTTACCACTCGTAAACATGGCACCTGAATTGAAAAAGGGCCACCACCGGAAATAGACTGATTGGGAACGCATTTCAAGAAGGCGCGCGGCTGGTCTCAACACCATCCCAGCAATTCCACTCGCACACAGAATGCCGCACCGGGAGTACCTTTGTATCCGAGCTTTATTGTTCATAATGCCTGCATGTACAAAGCACTAAAAAAAAGCAACATTTTGTAAAAAAATAAAACGAATCGCAATGAAGACCGAAGACATTCAAGCATTAGAGTAGCGCTTCCTTGCTAACGTGATTGTAAATGCACCCAGGCTTTTCTGCAACCGGCAAAAATAAATTTATATATACTTTCCCATTTATATTTAATCTGGCTCCATTGAGCCCCAATGTGAAATTAGGACATGTGCCCCTTTTGTGGAGTCTGGATTTTTTTCGAGCAGATGTATCACCCGCGTTCGCTCGCTCGCACACAGAGTTTTATTTGAATGTTTAAAAATGTGCAGGTCACATGCAATTTCGATCCCCCCCCCCCCAAACCCCCAGAATTACGTTGTGTAAAAAATAGAATGTATCGGCAAAAATAGTCACCCTTTGCCACCCACACCCCTCCCCCTCCCTTAATGAAGCGACAGCAATAATCAAGAAAGGCAGATTTTGCATCTCAAGTACTAATTCAAATAAAGCATGCTGTAAGGGCATCTCTCAACATTTGAATCAAATCTATTCACCTGCCCTTGAAAAGCTAAACTAGTTCCCCTCTTACGCTTTGCTCATCCGACACATGCCAGTACGGGGGGCCAGAACGGCGACGGGTAGTTTTCCACCAAGCCAGGACAGACCCAAACCGTGCTACTCTGGCCTCACAAGACATCTGAATCTGGCTCAGGGCCAAGCCACGTATGGGGCGGTGCTAATGACCGGTGTGAGCGCGCGTGACATCGGTCGGTACAACTCTTGAACCAACGTCACCTCGTCACCTGGATGCGTCCGAGCATCACGAATCGTGTGCGGCGTCAACGGCACAGCTCAGCTTAGTGCAGTGGAAAAGCAAAGCCCGTGCTCTCCTGACCCACGCCGCGCTTGCTCGGCACAGCCGCAGCATGGCTCGGTTGTGCAAGTGGGAAAAGAGCTGTAACGAACGGAGGAATCGCATACGAGCGTGCGTTTTTTGTACACAAGAGCTGTAGACCATGAGCCAGTTTTCTCTGTTGTTCCTGCACTCAGGAATAACTGCCCAAGGGTGCAATGAAAAAAAAACACAGCCATACTTTTAAGTCTAAAAATAAAAAAAACTATATGTGCCTAGGTATGAATCCACAAAACAAATTATAATATAAACTTGAAAATTTATATAAAAACAAAAACTTTACGTCTGGTAATGCTTCGTCATGTCCAGCATTAGCTAAGGGTTGCATGGGATTCAGCACATTTGTATTTCAGACACACACACGCAGCTGTGGCCATGTAAACCATAACTTTTTAGCCCCTTGTATTTTTTTGAAATGTTCAACATTTTTCCCCGCACCCCGCCCTTTATCTTAATTATTTGTACCCCTTACACTCATCCAGCGCCCCACCCCCCAACTTAACCAAACTCAAACCCGGCCCACACAGAGCCATTATTCCAACAACAATAACCGGCTACTCATGCCATGCTCGGCGCCGGCTATCCCAAAACCCAACAACAGCCGTACAAACGAAAGATATCTTGGCGGTCCCATCGAGGACCAGAGGTTTACAAGGCTGCTTTAACAAACAAACAAAAAAACACATACATTATTATTTATTTTTTAAAAATGCCTGCAGTTGTCAAACAGCAGAAACCGAACCGATGACATTTCGACTGAAAGTAAAAAAGCGTCCGTAGCAGGAACGCAAGACTTGGAAATCAACTCCACACGCTGGACACCAGCCTAGCCGTAACGATTTTACAAATGCTATAAAATGATTTACAGATTAAAAGTTACCGATGGGCAACGGTAGGTAATCCAGGGCATTAAATGCATTCAAGCTTTCGGGGACAAAGGCTACAGCTCTGCTTGGCCATCCTTGCGACATCGCGAAGCGTAGATGTTGGAATGTTCGTTTTTTGACAAAATGGTCCCAAAATATATATTTTTTAAAAACGGCCGCATGAATGAGATAATCTGGCGGAAGCATTATTTGATCGCGTTCCAGCCTCACATTCACGTTTGTCTATTAGTTTGAAAATTAATACGTAGGTATATATATATAAAGTGTAATACGGTACAGATAACGACAATATCGCGACACCAAACCTAAAGCCTATGAAAATGGGACCAAAGGAAGAAGTCCTCACTTTGCGTGACCTTTCCAGGAAGAAAGGGGGGGCTGTCATTTTAAAGATCAATCGACATCCACGCACTGCGTGTTAAAACGGCAAAGTTGAAAACGGCATCCAAATTCTGATGAAATATCTGGACACGGGATTTGGGCAGTGCCAACGGAGGACTGGATGGATGATGGACCACATCTATACCCTTTCTAATACTTGAGGTGAAGGCTGGAAGTGAAGTTTCAATAGAGTTTGTACAACTGGAGCTGGGATACAAAGTCAATTTGGCCAATTAATCGACTGGATAATATAATTGACTAATTTACCCGGGTCCCCTTCAAAAGGTGCCTGTCACCTTTCCGTCCAGCGGGGCGTTGATGGACTAGAGGTGATCATTTTTCTTCTCCCCAACTGTTTCAGTGATTGAGTAGCGGATCATTGAAATAGTTGGGTGGCCCAGCTCTAGTTCTAATGCGGCTCGCATGTATATGTTTTGGTTCGTTCGTTTAAAAGTCTGTATATGGCAGTACGCACTTTAACCTGTGTCAAACACCAGACGACAAGCTGGTGCGACACTGGAAGTTCCCGCCGGTTACCAATTCCAGCATCGTCAATTCAATCCAAACTGACAGTATAAGCAGTACACAACATTCTGAAATGCGACAGACGTCCTCATTAATAACTTACCTCCCCCTTATTTTAGTGCAAAAGTACCCAAAGCACAAGCACGCACTTAATGCAATGAAATGTACAGAGTTCCAAAACCTCAACGAGGTCTGATGGCAAATGGCCACCACAAGTTTTATGATGGCAGTACAAACGGCGTTTCTTTCAGGCATCCCTTTGACAACAAAATTAAACAAAAAAAAATGGTGCAACTCTCCGGTGCGATTTCAGGTTTGAGCCGCACGCATTGTTTGGCCTGGTGTCCGACGTTTTGCTTCCACGTGCTGGGAGCTTCTTCAGCAAAGGAGCAAACAGGCGGTATGACCCAAAAACACATCGGAGAGCTGCGCAGCACAACCGTGATTAAAACGGATTTGGGCTTTTTCTTCATAATGGATGATTAAATATTCTTAACAAGCCGTTTAATCACCTCTGAAGCTCAAACTTGACCGCCGCTATTGTAAGTTTTCGTTTTGTTTACTCAAATCGTGTGACGATCAAATTAAACGTTTTTAAACATCGCCACGAAAAAAGTTTCAGTCGTAAAGATCCAAATCTCTCTTGAACATAACAGGGTGTATACAAAAAACTAAAAGAAACTTGAAGATAGTTTTCATAAAAATAATAGAATACCCAAGTATTCCAGATAATTATTTACTTGAGAGTACAGAATGTAAAAAAAAAAGTTCCAGTATAAAAAAAACAAATTACAACACACTTTCCAATCGCATCGGTCTCCCACGAGCGAGTCAGCGGTGAAGGAAGGTAGGCGTGAGTGGAGGACAGATTTAAAGACATTTCCATGGATTTAAGATTCCGATCGTGGCAGCGTTTTATTCATGCGGTGCGGGTGGCCTCCATGCGCGTTGCGCCGGGGAGTGATTTTCAGACTCGGGAAGGAAACTTAGAAAACTGAAACGAGGGAAATAACGAGAAGAAACGTGCGGTACCGCGGAGTGCGAGAACACGGCCCACGGTGCACTGGGGACTCGGTCAACAGTTCATGCCCCTGCCGGGACTTCAACGCTGACGGAGCGGCCGTTTCTTTATTGTCATCGTTTGAATTTCGTTTTTGCGCTCTTCACAGCAGCACGCGGGGGGAGGGCGCCCTGTGGCTGGGACGGTGCGGCGACACCGATACCGCCGCCGTCTGCCCCCCGTACGCCCGAACGCCGGACTCGGACCGGACCGCAGGCGGTGGCAGCAGCAGCAGCGGTGGCGGCGAGAAGGGGAACGGCGGCGACGCCGGGTGAGGACTCTGGTCGTCGCCGGAGCTGCCGCTGCCCGGCGAACGCAGCCGCAGCCACGTGTCGCCCAGCGCTCGCATGAAGTGGTCGTCCACCGAGCCCGTGACCGACACGCGGTTGGAGGCCAGCGTCGGGTCGCCGGGACGGCACGACGCCGCCCCAGCCGCCACCCCCGCCGCCGCTGCCGTCACCGTGGCCGCCGGATCCCGGTAGTCACGGCCCAGACTGCGGCGGAAGTGCTCCTCCACCACGGGGTCCGAGCTCATGGATGCTGCCGCGAGAGAGAGGAGGGGGAAGGCGGAGAGGCGCGGTTGAGTGGCAGGCGGAGCCGAGCGCTGTTGTGGGTTTGCTTCCCGACTGGCGATAATCAAATGACCCGGAGGGTAGAGCTTGGAACAGTGTTCGGATGGGTCGCCACCGTGAGGAGCAGGTGTGATAGGGTGCGGGGCAACAATGTGGCCACCCGAGTGCAGTGTGGCAAAAACCCATTGTTGTACTGCACTTGTGTGCTCCCACGTCTATGTCGCCTCCACCTTCATGAACCCTCACTGACTAGACCCTTCAGCGGACATGTTTATCCACACAAGGGCCACGACCGCTGTATTTCCCTGCAAATATTCGCTGCATGTCGACCAAACCGACATTTTTAATTGTCGTTAAAATCTTGCCAAATTTCGTGGAAACTAAATTGAAAATTAGTTCTTGGAGCATTTATTGCTGACCGGACTGATGCCATGAACTGGGGTGGATGGCCAGATTTTAGCCCAGGATATCTCAGTGATGTGGCTCTGTGCTATGATACTTCAGGAAACCAGACGTACTTATTTTCATAGGCCGTTTATAATCTCACGACAACAACTTTGGGTAGACAAGCTTTTAAGTTATATACCAAAATATAGATTAACTGCACAAATAGATTTTGTTGGCAGCAGTCATTATAGTCACGCTCAGTTAAAATCATCTCTGGCCCGTGTTTAACGGTCATGATGTGTAATGACCTGTCAAGTTTACAGCCCGAATAAATTTTGCATTTATGCGCTTTACTTTCAGCGTATTATTTTGTTATATTTCAGGAAGTCGTAATGCATTCGTACGGGCCAAGTAAGACATATCACGCACAAGATACACAAGCCATGGATGTTGTTGTTGAGTGGAGTGCTGCCAACCCTGTCGAGAATCCCATATCGCGAGACAGATTGCTGTGAGGCGCAACTCTCCAAAAGAATAGCGGCTTTGACGTGTCCCACACGCGGCTTCTTTATCCTGCCGGCTCATCCGTCCATTGCCAAGTGGTTGTTGGCAAAGGGGAACGAAATAATTCCCGTAACATAATTTCCTACAGCTTGGCGATATCTCGGAGTACTGTCATTTATACTATTAAATCCTTCCCGCGATATAAAACACACTGTGGCCAACACAACAGCTGACGGTTTTCATTGGGATGTTTGTAAAAAAATATTTGGGTGCCTCCAGGCTGAATGCATTTGCTCCCAAACTTGCCTGGCTCTGGCCATGTTTTCAGGGGCCCATATTATTGTGATGATTTCGTTCTCATACGAGGAGCAGACGGCAGATCCTGGCAGCCCGATTGTAAACTGTGCATGCTCGCGAATGCATTTGGGAGTTGTAGGTTGCTTGGCAACAAAGAGAATAGTTAAGATTTGGTCGGGCGTTTCTGCGCCGACTATCAATGCGACAAAAAAGACAATCTGGCTGCATTCGCATTCATCCTCCTCGTCAATATCATCAGCCATGCTCAAACGATTGCTGGATGAAGGCTGTTCCGAGCTGTCTCCATCCCTCGTGAACCTGCCATGCAGCAGCATGCAAATGGGCCGATATCATCGCTCCATCTCCGCAGAGGACGTGTCTCTTGGCCACATTAATATGGAATTGAAGGCAACGCACAACTGTGCAAGTATGCGGCATATTACTCTGGCTGGTTTAAACAAACAAAACCGAATATGTCCCTTTGTGCTTACACATTAACATGTCTCGAGGGCTCGAGATCCAAATGGAGCCCCCAAAACTATTAATAGGTAAAGGTGCAAAAGTTCAGCTCAGAAAGTCCTTTCTCACGCCACTGCCGGTGCTAGCCGTGGACAGAAATCAATCGAAGCCACTGGAGCTGTGCACTATTAAATCCAGATTCAAAACTCATTTCTTTAGAACTGCTTTTTGTTTTTAGTTTGTTGTCCTTCACGACGCACCTCCATTTAGCGTGGCTGGCTAAAACAATGCAATATACATAGATACATACAGAAAGGCCTCCACTCCAGAGTGCTCTGGAGAGCCCCTTTCCAGAAGGTTTTTGGCCTATTCTACTACGCCGGCCAGCAGCCTTAAAAGAGGTGGGAGTACCCACACTTTACTTTACCACATGGCGATCTGCCGATCTACTGAATGTGGTGTAGCTCACTTACACTGCTGGGCGGACAGAGGCGGCGTGTGGGATTTAAAAAATGTGCCCCATTCTTTCAAATGCTGTGCCAGGACATCGAACTGACAACCGTTGTATTGCGAACCCCGGTGACGCTAACCAATCGTCCGCGCCAGCATCTCAAAACTATTAAATACTCCACTCCAGGTGGCCTTGTGCTGGTGCTCATGAAGGGCTCCTTTATTTCCACCGTGCCTTGCCCCTTTAAGGAATTGAGCTGCATTGGTTGGATTTTGTTTTTTATCACCCTGGCACACAGGGGAGCTGTTGGCTTATAAACAAATGGATCCCACATGCACGCTGACTAACCAAGAAGTCATAGAGACGGCTTTGTTTTTGGAACATCTGGATATTTTGTGGCGAGTAAATCGGCAGAGAGGTGAACGCAACATCAAAACTAGATCACGGAGGAGCTTACGTTTCCTGACGTGTCCCAATAAACAAGACCGCCTTTGGCCATCACGGCAAAGAAACGACATCCAAGGGCCAGGACGCAACCCAAGATTGTAAACAATACTTGCACTGGAGCACAGGGTAGCACTGCAGTGTCAATCAAGCGTCGTGAACAACGTTAATTGATGCTGCCCTATAAAGTGTAATGGCGAGCACACGGGCCTCGCATTCCGAGAGGTCGCCAGTTTGATTTTCGATGCGGCAGTTGAGATCAATGGGCAAAGTCACGTAGACAGGTTCAAAGGAAATAACAAAAAACTACGACGTTTTGATCGCAACGCATGCCTGATGACGACCGCTTGCGTTGCGATCGAAACGTCGAACCTATCTGTGTGACTTTACCGAAAGACCCAAAGAATATGAATTCCTGCAGTCACGAAAGCTTCAAGTCAAGATATAATTGGGCAAGTTTCTAACACAGGGGTTGTTGATACTCTCACGTTCAGCCCGGTTTTCACAGCTGGTCACCAACTCGCTCTGGCTTGGTGCAATTGACGCCGCAACAGAGCTTAGCCGGAGGTGGGGAAATATATTTTTCTCGCTTCCCCGCTAGACCTGCGACACCAGGGCTTCCCCTGTAAGAGGCACAGCTGCCCAGAGGGTAGCTCTCTCGAACCTGCCCTCTTCGAACACCAACGAGTCCCACCTACAGTATCTCGTGAATGTTTGCCGGGAGGTCCACACTCCTGCTTTGCACACATCCGCTCGAGGCACTCCTGCCCTGCCGGCCCGCTTTGGCTCTTTTCGAGTGGGGTTGACAACTCACCACCCGAGCATTCCCGCACCTAGGAAGCCAACCCCTGTCTGCTTAAGACGCAGTTCTTCCATCTGCTTTGCTGCCCCATGCAGCACAAGCAACTGCCTCTGCCTTCCTCCGGGCCTTGGACCTCTCGAGTAAGAAGCCTCATGCCATAACCGAATATCCAAAGCCAGCGTAGGGAAAGTGTCCGGGCAAAAAAATTAAAAAAACGACTCCTGGTTCACGTGGAACAACTCGGAGAGAGAGCACTTTTGGGACATGCCGCGGCGAGGTCAGGCAGGCAACCGGGCCCTTCCCTAGAGTACACCAGGCTCCATTTCCACACCACACGTAGAAACGCCTCCTCTCAACAGAAAATCCTGCACCCCATTGTCCAAGCCTAGTTTGACGAACCTGGCTATGACCGAAGGCTTGTCGTAGCATAATTCTGCTCACCACTGCAGTACCCACCAGTGGAAGCACCGTCAGGACTTCCTTCTGATCTCCTGTGAGAGCGTACGGCTACTCCGCTGATTCGGGGACCGTGAAATCCGGAGCTGGTTTAACCCACGCGTGCTCTCACCAAATCCAGCACGTGCTGGTCCATGGGCGCACCCGCGAACCTGGAGGCCACCGGCTTTTACAAAAACAGGTGGCTTCTTGCCCTTATCAGAATCATAATCTTTATTAAGACTGCAGGAGGAATCCGATGAGCTGTGAAGCATCCTCTCCGATGGAGGGGGCCCGGGGATTTCACCCCGAGGCGATCCACTAGGCCCCCATCTTCAGCATCTTTGCGTCCCCTGGCAGGAAGAGCATATGCGAAAGACTCTTCTTCCGCGCTTGGCTCATCCAAGAAAGAGCATTCTCCATCCTCTCTGGGCACACCCATGACTCTCTTAGGGGTGGGAGCTCTTCAACTGAGCACTTCACGTCTTCCTCAGGGCCCCTCCTAATTCTTCCTCTTCCGGGGAGCCTTGTGGGTCCCCAAAATGCCCTGAACCTCGCCTACACTGACATTGGGGCTGGCTGCGTCCAGCCTTGCCTAGGGCTCCCTCCAGTACGAGATGCAATATCTCCACGCCCAGGCCTCCTACGGGCCCGGCACAGGATGGATTTCAATTGCACCAAACCAGAGGGCGTCTGCGACCGACGTTGAATGAATAATCCCCACCTCTGTACACCTCTGTCGAGCAGCAGGTCGCGTGTGGTGTCGTAAAGTGTGGGCACTCCCACCACTTCCAAGATGGAAGAGTAGGCCAAATACCCTCTGGAGGGGCTTTCTAGAGCTCCCTCCAGAGGAAGGCCTTTCAGCAGCAGTGGCGTCAGCAAGTAATTGCAGAGTTGCATCGTTATTGTTCTTATTTTTAGCAATCGGTAAAACCTAACTTGCACAAAGACAATCAATCTTGTGATTTTTGTACGATGCCACTTTGGTCCCACGCCGGCGTACGAGCAAGCTGTGTAGTTTTCCCAGCTCCCAGATCCATGCCGAATGTTTGTAGAAATGCTGTGAGAAGCTTCGTTGCAATTTTTTTCCAGCTCAAAGGCAGGAAGGAAGTACCCTCCCACAACAAAATTAAAGGAAGCCCTTTCCAAGCCGAGGTCAATTGATTTTTGTTTTCCACACGTACAACAATTATAGGGTGCCTTGGACAGATTCAGACACGCAGATGGGTGCGGTGCCGCTTTCAGATTGCATCAAATTAAAAACATGCCGAATAGATAAATAAATAAGTCTAACAACTTGCGTAGAGCGCATGCCGCGCCAATTATTGGGAAGACCACTTGGGAATTTACACACTGGCCGGATGTGCCTCGGCATTAACCTTACCCATATTCAATCGCCCGCGAGGTTATTCAATTACGCCACGCGACGGCCTGCAGCAAATCTACATGTTGGAGATCACGGCTTTTTTTTTCCCTCCCTTCCCACGAGATGAATTTGTGTGCCCTCCCGATTAGTGCTGCCTCTCCGCTGCGTCACGCGCAGACTATGGAAATGAACTCAAATAGGCGGCAGTTTGACACGAGAGACGAAGGCACGAATGAGAGCGTGTGACCTCCTTTCCCACCCCACCCCCCATTCATTCTGGGGGCTTTATTTGCTTTTTTTTTCAGCACATTTGCTGAGCACGGGGCCGAAGGCACCAAAAGGCCAAAGCGGCCGGAAACAAATGGCGCAGTTGAATGTGCGTACTAGGTAGGGGTTGACGTGTCGCCGCGTGACTTGAGCAACGGTGCTGAGAACTTGGGGAAAGAGATGGGTGGGGAGGGAATTCCAAAGTCGAGCACGGTGAGAGGGAAAAGGCAGAAAGAGAAGTCAGGATCAGAATCTTGATTTCAACTGGTGGAGGAATGCGATGAGCTATGAAGCTCTATTTCACAGACGTCCCGTATGGGCGGGTCAGCAAAGAAGTGTTGTGGTGGTTGAATGCAGTATGGATGAGATGAAACGGTGAATGTCTGGTAGAAGGAGTCACCAATACAGGTGGAGAAATCAACGAGCGTAGTTCACACAAACAGTAACCACGGTTGTAGTAATGGAAGCCTTATGAGGGGGCGACTGACCGAGCGAGCGAGCGGGTGACTGTAGTCAATTCTGTACGTGTGTATGTTGAACTTCTTTCACACCGTGCGTAGCCAATCGTGCTAATAGGAGGTGCTAATTCAGTGAGTGCTGGATACAGCAGTCAACCCGACTGCTTTACGCTGAATTCTATCAAGCGCAGCGAAGTTGAGAACTGGGTGCCCCAACCAGGATTTCGCTTCGAACAGCAGCAGCAATTATTGTTTGCGGTTATAGACGAAGGCTGTGGCACGGAAGAGAGAAAACCGAACGTCTCCGAGACGGGAGTGCACGGGCACACGTGTCTCACCACTGGGCTCTCGGCGGTGGCTCGTGCTCAGCCCATTGGAGACGGAGATCGGCCTGGAAACGTGGCGCCCGTTGTTGCGGTGCGTCGACGCGCCCGGGGCGCAGGTGATGACGGACGGCCTCATCTGCGAAAGAGATGGAAATAACGTCAGCGTAGGTCTTTTCATCACCGACACATGCAATACGCAGGAGTAGTTGTTAACAGCCCGACGTCAATCCGTTTCTGGGTTGAAGGCCTCACGGTACCGTGTCGGTCATGTTGATCGTTTGAACATACTTAGCCACACTGGCTGGTGCGGTGTTGCTGATGGTGGTAGGAGCGGGGGGGACACACACATGGCACTGGTTCAGATATCATCACTCTGGCCACTGATGCTAGCTGAGACCGGGAAACGAAACCCAGGTTGCCATGTTCGGAGTGCAGTGCCCTAACCAACACACCACACCACAGGCATCTAAAAACAGGGATTGACTCATGAATTGATATTCCTTCTTATGCTCCCAGCAGACATTCAATCATGCATGCAAGAATCAAGTCTTATATGCTTCGACAAGTGACACATTCTGAATGCAGGCAAGAGCATAAAACAAACAACTGTCATTTGTGAATCGAATCGTGACCGATAATAAAAACAAGCATACTATAACTAACTATTAAACTATAACAACAATTTTTATTTTACCAGGTAAGGCCAACTGGACTATATAGCTATTTTACAGAAGCGACCTGGCTATCACAAATGATAGCTCAACAAAGTGGCTGATCGTGGGAAAAATGTATTGCAGCCACATACTCTGAAAGTGTGATGTTGACTCAAACTGCGGAGGGAAAAACTGGAGGACCCGGAGAAAAATACATGCGACCACGGGGAGAGAGAGAGACACGAAAACTCTAAATATACAGCAGGAGTCGGGATTGAACCGGCGAGGTATTTACTACATAAATAGAAATAATTCCTAACTAAATATCGCAGCGTGGCAGCGTGGCAGCGTGGCAGCGAATGCGCGCCTACCTGCTGCAGCAGGAAGGCGGGGAGGGTGCCGGCGCGGAGGAACGGCGCCCCGGAGCGTGCCGCCTCGCCCGGGCTGGAGGGCCCCGGGTTGGGCGACACGGCGAGCCCCGGGCTGGAGGGCCCCGGGTTGGGCGACACGGCGAGCCCCGGGCTGCTGGAGGGCCCCGCGTAGCGGTACGCCGCGGCGCCGGCCAGGTGGCGAGGCGGCAGGGAGGCGCTGCGCACCAGCGGGCTGTGTCCTCGCGCCTTCTCCCGCTCGCGGATGTAGTCCACGCTCGCCGACTTGCTCCTGCCGAAAGGTCGGGTGGACGCCGGGGCCGTTAGCGATCGTTTTTTTTTTGTCCTTTTAACTCAGCTGCGCTGTCTGTTCTCTTGTCACGCGTGGTTTTCACAACGCGCACTGGATGCAACGCGACGGATGCATTTGGGAACACATATTTTTATCACGCGGATGCGAATTGGATCAGAACTAAGTGGCGCGAGTCGGAGTAAGAGATTGTACGGCTGCCTCGGTGCAGCATCACATAAGGCGGGATTCTGCTGGATGCTTCTTGATGCTACCCACGCGCCTCGGTCTTTCTTCAGCCTGCATACTCATCTCGTGTTATTGTGGACTGTGCTTTACTCGATATTATTTATTATAAATTCGATTTCTGTTTGTTTCATAACGCGGTATTGTTCAGGAGTGCAACTACCCCGTTATAGAACTGACTGGCATTAGTTTTTTTTCTTGTTTTTTACAATCGTGTGCGATTTAATGCAGTAAAAACTGTTTCGTGAAAAGGCGTCATTTAGTACAACTTGCTGTGGTTGCTTTACTGACGACAGCCACCTACAACAGCATGGAGATGCCATAGGCATAGTCACTAAGTGTACAGGCGGTGAAACTGCACCGGGTTCCACGGGAAGAACAGGCGCAGGTGGTTACCAAGAGGACGGAAACGGTACTAGGGAGCCCTATTTCAATGCCAACCCACGCTACGCGCACTGCGAATGTGACGGCATGAAAGTGTTTGATATGTGTCTTGGGCGCTACGATGAGTTGATCAAATAGATTCACGACACAAGTAACCAATTGTGCGTGAGAGCAATGATTATGCTCGATTCGTATATGCCGTATGCAATGAATGGGATCGTACGCGACCCCTGAACCCACAAATTTAAAAAAGTATTGCTTGCCAAAGAGTGAATAAACAAGACTTATATATAAACACAAATAAATGTAAACAAATACTGTATTAAGATGGAGGGCGAATAATCACTACTATTAAAACTTCGGATCCCCCATTCATCAAAGGCTGCATAAATAAAAAGTAAAGCAAACAAACTAATTATAAAAAAATATGAGCCGGGCATATTTAAACAGCAATCGTCAACTTTTAAAAACATATACATTCTGACGCACGTGCATACACACCAACAAAGAAAAATGCGCACACACACACACGCTTGACCTTTCCTAAACATAAGCCAAATGCGAGGACAAACTGTACATGTGAACCGTCCATAAAAACAAAAAATAACCTTGCAAGCGGTGAACTTGTTTTGAAAAGGCCGGCTCCCCCACATATCCATTCCCATGCATGCTGAAGAGAGCACACGGGGGACACACTTGACGGGCATGACAAGAGGAACCCCGCTCCATGACACAGTGGACAATCTGCTGGCTTTTGGGGGTAAAAGCAGCGGGCTGGGTTGGTGGGACGTTTCTTACGTTATGGACCCATAAATGTAAGTCGTTGTTGTTTAGTGGCTGGGAGTTTGAGCAGGAGTAGTGGGTGGGCATGCAGTGGAGCTAATATTGGCGAAGTATGGGGGCGTGAGACCCGAGGGACTGAGAGGGGAGGACGAGAGGCTACGGTGGAGGGGAGGGGGCAGTGCGAAGTTGGGAAGAGAGACACATTTTATTTTATTTGCGCCACACCAAAATGGCGTTTCCCACGACACTGCCGCCCCCCTTGGGCGCGGTGCCAAGCGCCGAGGAGGCACGAGAAGTCACCGGGAGCCCGGGGGAACTCCGCGGAGTAGTGGGGGGGGCGGTGGTGCCGTTCGTGGCACGCCACGCAACGTGCTGCCGCGCAAACCCGCTACGAGCGGATTCTTACGTCGCGCGAAATTTACAAACGTTACTCTTTTTTTTTCTTAACAGGAGACTGCCGCGTCATTTAAACAACAGCTTGCCGCTGCAAATGCCGAGGCGAAGTTGCCTTTGATATTTCCGCTTACCGGAATTATTTTAATGTGATCAATGGTAAACGATTTAAAAATGAGTTAAATTTATCTTCAGATAGTGATGTTTTGCACTTTAAAAAAAAAACAACACGCACGTTAAACTGATGGGATAAATTTTCATTTAAAAAAAGAAAACAACCCAGGTTACAAAACACCATTGATAAACACAACGCGATTGCATTTTGTAAAAAAAAAAAACCCAGCATGTTCACTTGGGAAACGGTAAGATAACACTAATCCAACATTACACCTCAGTGAATGCAGACAAAGCCCCCTTTTTGTTATGAAGCTGGCAAATGCGGACATATTTTTGCCAGCAGCCTTGCATTGCCACGCTCACATCGGGCACATGTTTAATTCATCCACTTTATTGATTCGTGGACTTATTAATCGGGTTTACCCGACTATTTACTTTTTTTTTTCACGGAATGAGGCACGTAAGCCCCTCCAGTTAGAGTAATGAGAGATTATGTTACAAAATTACGGGTCACAGTGGGTCAGCGGTTTTTCAGGGGCAACAATCAATTTGGAGGGTGGAGGGGGGATGGTGGTGGGTGGGGAGGAAATTGGGCTAATTTGTAAAGCTCTAAAACGTGCCACTAATTAAGTGGCTTTATTTGCCAGTTCATTAATTTAGCCCTGATCGTTTCGGCGGTCATAACTCCGCAAGAAAGTGCCACCGAGAAGGGCGCGTGGAGAAGGATTTCACAGTCTCCGATTGGGGGGGGGGGGGGGGAGTTTTTCTTTTCTTTTTTTAGACAGCTGTGTACAATTAAGAGAACAAGTCATTGCAGTAACAGTGACTTGCATAGTCAAGCCTCATACCATCAACTCCTGGTACCATGGGTTTCTACGTCTCTATACCACGTGTGTCAATAAAGGTAAGTGAAAAAAAAATATTGCGAAGGACACTGCGCACTTTGTTAATGCTCTACGAGTAATTTTCTGCACGTCAGCATATGCAAAATATATCCTTTGTGAAGGTGGTGATGGAACCTCATTGGGCTGTAGCTCGATTAATGAATGGACAAATTACCTACAAAATTACTTACCATTTCCCATTAAAGCGGAACGTAAATATATATTTTTTTCTTTATAAAAATTACAAGCACAGGCTCCAAAGCACCAGTGACCGGCAATAAACACCACGGAAGCGTGTACTTAAGTAATAGTTAATGCGTTTCATTAAACGTTAACGGCGTAAAAAAAAATGCTAAAGTGTGTGTGTGTGCACCTTTCTGGCTCCCATCTTCAGGAATGGTGCCATACGCATGCACGCACTGTACACAGCACCAACGTTAAGTGGCGAAAACAAAACCACATGGCCTTTGCAGAAGTAAATGAAACGCGAAAACCTAATTGAGTTAGCGGCATCTGTTTTCAGTGCTGGGTGCATTGCAGTTGGAATTACATAAATAAGTGCACTCCGTGACTTGCTGTAATTCTCGCTGGGGGGGGGGGGGTGGGGTTCATCTTTTTGGCAACGATGACAGTAATTCCCAAGGGCACTTGAGTGAGCTCCGTGGTTATTTGTATAATTTGTTTAATTTACTTTTAATGGGCCAAAGTAATGCACTAAGTCTGAAGGATCTCTCCTACATTACAACTATCGTCCATTGGGCCTGAGCAGACGTTTAGTACTTAACTAAGGTAGTAAACAATACGAGCGAGTGATGTGATAACGCCGCTCGTTTCAAATGGTTGTCACGTAATAATTCACTGTCGTTTGGCCACAGAGAGAAATTGGAACCACTCGAGGCTGTATTTCACCTGGTCAGGACCCATGGAGCAAAGCGGCTCTTTTATAAGGATGCCCACCAAAGTGGTGCCACCCCAGGTGATACCCACAAGTGAATCATCTGGTCAGGACGCATGGACTACATGGAGTATAATGATCTCATCCCTCCCCGCCCCCTAGTAATTCTTTGGTGTCAAAATTTGATTCAAGAATCAAGATCTTTCAGTGACATTGCAGTGAAAGGTAGCGCCTCTAGTGCCTACAGGAGTGGGTGACATGAACCCACAGAACACACACGAATAGAAAAAAACGTCTCTTCTTCATACCCATTGAGAAACATGCGTTTAGAGTATTTGGCTGCTATACATTTCCACGTGATGATAAGCCACTTAGTTGAGCTATCATTTGTGGCCAGGTCGCTTCTGAAAAAGAGCTACATAGCTCAGTGGGCCTTACCTGGTAAAATAAAAAATAGTTTTGTGTTTTTTGAATCGATGCAAGCATCCTGAGCTTATGAATCAGTATCGATCGATGGGTGTATCGATGTGTCGTCGTTAGACAACCCGGCATTAAGCCGCTTCTCAAAAAACACGTACAGATGGCGCACGGCAAGGAAAAGCGTAATCGCCGGCAGAACGGTGCAGATCACATTTAAACGGGCCACGGCATTGCTTTGGCTGGAGACGCTGGGAGACCCTAAGGCAAACAAAGAAAAATTACATCCCAGACATCGGTTGCCAGTGGAACAACTGTCACGGTTCGCTGTGATGAATACCGCTTGGAGTTCAGCTAAACGCCGAAGCGGGACTTTCGTTTGCGCAGATGCTGCGCAAACGCGACAAGCCAAATCGCCATCTCGCGTCACCGTTAACGGACGCGGCAAAGTTTCGCCGCACGTGTTGGTGATCCCCGACGAATGTGAACAATCAGCATTGCCTTGGCCGCTCCGCGTTTGTTTTTTAGCAACGGCGCCGCTTTCCCCGGGCAGCAGTTAGGGCCACATGATGCACAGCCTCTAATGGACATTTCATACACGCACTCATTTATGCGGGCCAATTCATTTATCCTCCAGGAAAGGCAATTTGTCGTCTTTTTTGCACAGGACGAGACGTACACATGGATTGGATTAAACTCCCATCATCTGCTTGCTATGACAAGGTACAGCCGCTTAACGGTTTAGATGTTGTTCCACTTCAGAAACGTGTTCATTCGTCATTTTAAAAAAAAAACCCCATAAAGCTGACGTTTTAAAGAAAAAAAGGACTAAAATAATTATTTTATTTTGCAAAAATAAATCAAACGCCTGTGTTGTCGTATCAGTCAGCGCAATGCGCAGCTTCGGCGACATTTTAATCTTCGCAAAGTGCTCGACGTTGTTAAAAGGTTGAGTCACTTAGCAGTCTGTCAGCGCATTGACAGGAAAATATAATATGGGAGGAGGAAAACCAACCCCTCTGCTGCCCCCCCCCCCCCCATAAATAAATAAAACACTATTTCACTTCGGGTTGTGCCAGACCTGTGAGTAGCCGTGTGATGGAAACTATGTACGCTTTAGGTGACTCACGTTTCAAAATAATAGCTACGCTGAAGCTCCACGGACTATCCAAACTAAATTTGACCACACCTCACCGTAACCCCCCCCCCCACCACGGTTCCCAATGCGGTCCAGGACCCCACGTCACACTAACGTTTTGGATTATTCTATTTCCACGATATGCAGTGTTTTCAAACACAAACATTTCCGAAGCTATTCGTGATTGAGTTTTCAAATTGCCCGGAGGTGGGAGTGTTGAGCGTTACTCCTCCAACACTTGGTTGGTTGGTTCTTTGCGGATTTTCCAGTTTCTTGCCACATCAAGCCAAGCAGTCATTCATGATACCTGGCCAAACGTCCCAATGCAGGACCCTTCTAAAAACTAATCTTGAGACTCGCACGATACTTTCCTGGGCTGGTAGGAACATTGGAATTTGTTTTACACCCAACAGCACGAGATTTCACTTCGTTAAAGTATTGAAAGGGGACGGATGGACGGACACATTAATCTATTGAAGGCTGGTACACTCAGTTTACAACTTCGTTCCTACCAGTAAAACATATATTATATGGTGATGATGTATTGGCAGCGGTACACAAATACAATCAGCAAAAAAGTTCAACACGTTCGTCAAGAACACCGTGGCCTCAAAAGAAATATATAATAGGTGATGTTTTGGGCGATGGGCCTTTGGTGCTATGAAGAGGGGCCATTGCTTGAAACGTTGCCGATTATATTTTCCTACGAAGGCCACAGTGTTATTGACGAATGTGTTAACAAAATCGTTATTGAAACCCTTTAGAAAATGTAACTTCAATTACCAATCAAACAGCAATGACCCAATCACCTGTGTGGCTGAGCATTCAACGAACCATAAACAAAGGAGCCTTTACTACTCAACACTTTTCCACTCCCCTGAATGTCTAAACCCAAAATCGGCCGAGCAGTAAAACATAACTCGATGCCATGGTTTAAAAAAAAAGTAAAAAAATAGAGGAACAAATCCGGTCATAAAATAAACTTCATACAATTTTTGTTACAGACCAAGAAAATAAATAATTTCCTTTTTACCATGGCAACTGCGGTGCTGTTGTTCGATAAATCCAAATCCTGACCGGCCCAACTTTGCCACCGTGTGGCCCATAAACTTGTTGAAATGTAAAAGGTGTTCACGAAGAAGGAGCTCTCTAATGTCAGCCTCAACGGGGCCTTGTTTGTTGCGGGCCGCAAGCCAAACTCGGGCCTCCCTCCAAGCACATGTGTCTTTACTCGCACCACACGTACACATACGCTCGGGTACACACACGTATACCCACACGCGCTGCAAACTCTTTGCTCGCGCTCCAACGCACACAGGCAGCTAAGCGCGCGCACATGCAAATGTGGCTTTGCAGCAGCCTTGACAACGGAGAGCCTTTACAAACCCTCCGATTTGTGCAGGTCCGTTCGAAATTAATTATCACAGAATATGGTTTGTGAATGTGACAGTCGGGCGTTTTGTTAGGCGCAATATTGTCGCGGAAAAGGAGCCTCGTTAAAGTAATCCGCTGCTCGCGTGCCCTGCAAGGTGCACTCTCACCGGCGTTCGAGCCGAGAGATTCCAAAAAAATAAAAATGTTGGCGCATCCACGTCCGACGGCGAAGTGAGGGTGAAGCGAAGCCCTGACTTAAGACTACTTCATATATCACTGATGTTTAGCCCTGGCCGGCAATCATAAGCCGGGCCACCGGGTAACCAGCGGGGTGCGTTAACCGCTGCACCACCGCTCCTCTCTCGCGTAGAAATTGGTACAGTCGTTTGTCAATCCACTGCTGGATGAAGGCCTTCCCGCGCCGTTTCGGTGCGCCGTACGTCACCACGCTGGGTCATCGCGGGTTTGGCGATCGGGGAACTCGGGACCAGTTCAGACATCGCTCACCCCACCGCCCAATCTTATGAGTAACGCACAGGTATGAATGATTGCGTCAACACTCGCACTATTTTTTTACCGAACTCTCACAGCTCCTCCCAACCTGCAGAGAACCGGCGAGCGCTTTGCGGTAAGATACAGTGCAGCGTTTCGCCGAGCGGCCGATGGCTACTCAGAATATTTTCGCTGGACCTCACGTTTTTTTTTGTTGCTTGCGTGGATGGGAGGGCGAGAAACTGGCACTCAAGACGCGCCACCGCACTGGGCAACGTTTGCGCACACTCACCCGCACTCACTCGCACGCACGTGGAATGTGTGAGGTCACGGGGGGGGGGTGGGTGCACTTGCACAATTGATTCCCGTTCATGGCCAACACCAGTGGCGATTACCTGAATCGGTTCTGGGCATTCCCTAGGTCGACTGAGCCTTAATGGGTACCAGGTGTGGTGTGTAAACATAGCCACTGGGGAGACAAAGGGAGCCGGACGTGGTACTGGCCACCCACCCCCTTATGTGCCATGCCAGCCGTCACTAACAACACTTGCCCCAAACAGTCTTTTAAGGCTATACGGGGGTCTTTGTCTGTGTCTTTGTGCGCACGTGATTAGAACGTGTGACGTACCAACAATATTCAGAACTGTTAGCACTCATTCAGAAGTAGATGTGAACATGAACACAGCGGCAACAGCGTATTTAGCCAAACCTGCCAAAACACACGCACTCGCTCAGGAAGACGTCATTGTGTGCCTGGGCACCTCGCAGTGCTGACACTGAAGAGGCGTTTAGACAAGAGTTATGTGAGGAATCCCTGGCCAATGCCATTCGACACTGGACACACTGAAGCGCCGCAGTGCTGTGGCTACTGATATTGCGTGGCCTCTTAGCGTGGCTGAGCTGTTTAAAATTCCTTGCTTAAAGTCACCCAAGGTATTTAGCTCATTGATTCTTCCTTCTCTGCCACTTTTCTTACGGCTGCATTAACGTGAAATTAATCACTGATTTATAGATCACACGTGAAATCGTAACGGGTGGCAGTGGGGACATGATTAGCGCAACTTGTGACCTGAGTTCAATTCCTGGCCATGGCTAACATCAGTGGCAAGTGATATCTGAATCATTACTGAACCCCCCACCATGTCACCAACCCGCATCTGTCAACATGATGAATTATAGTTAATTCATCATGTTGGATACAATTATTTAAAAAAAGCTATTCTTTTATTATTAGTATTGTAACCATTGGGTAATCACAGCAGTGGGACAAACGCTGTTCGCAAGCAAATCGCGAAACCTTCAAAGCGCACACGTGTGAGATCCAGCCGCTGTGTTTATACGCTTTATAAACCCTAATTCTGTTGCATTCTATTGCGCGACCCAGCTGGCTTTGCCTCCCTAGTGCCAATGTTTAGCACACAGCTAGCAACTAGCCACGGTGGCGAGATGTTAACTATCTCACCTGGTATGCAGGAGATCGTGGGTTCGATCCCGACCCTGACAGCTGTTGTATATTTGGAGTTTGCGTGTCTCTCTCTTTCCGTGGTCGTGTGAATTTATCTCCGGGTCCTCTGGTTTTTCCCTCCACATCTCACCCCTCCCCGCCCCCACCCTAATAATTATTTGGTGTCACAATTTGATTCAAGATCTTTCAGTGACATTGCAGTGAAAGATAGCGCCTCTAGTGGCTACAGGAGTGGGTGACATGAATACACGAATAGAAAAAAAGTCTCTTCTTCATACCCATTCAGAAACATGCGTTTAGAGTATTTGGGCTGCTATATATTTCCACATGATGGTAAGCCACTTCGTTGAGCTATCATTTGTGGCCAGGTCGCTTCTGAAAAAAAAGCTACATAGCTCAGTGGGCCTTACCTGGTAAATAATAAAAACAATTGAAAAAAATAAGTCATCATAGCCATAAGCCTTAACTAAGGCAATTATAGGGCAACAATTGCTGGCCACATTCAAGCCTGTACTACGTCAAACTTGAAGCAATATGGAACGGCGCCATGCGAGCTCTGCCGAGAATAACTGTTGCCGGTGAAGATTGCCAGTAACGATTGTCGGAAAATTATCCGAGTGCATCATGACCTTTAGGGGAAGCCTTAGGACACATTTACAAACTAATTGCCACTGGTATTCATGTGGGTTTTCGCAGAATCATCCGAATAAACCACAGCCAGCATTCAAATCTATTAAACCAGCATTGGAACCACTACAAGGTTACTCCCCCCCCCCCCAACACTGAGGGCCACCGGGAGGTTCCTGAAGGCCCAGGGCTGGGAGGCCCATGGCAGAGTGCCACGTGGAGCCTCCTTATCCATTATTAGCGACCGAAAAAACCAACAACAGGCTCATTGTGGTGCCCTCTTTATAGTGTGAGACCAGGGACAACATTCCCCTTTGGCACCCCGCCCCCGACTATTCATGCAGCCCTGAGCCTGTCCATGTCCAAACACAGCCCGGCCATGCTACTACTCACAGGTTGAGTGGCATGAGGCGGCTGGCCTTGGTGGCAGGGTCCTCCTCGTCCTCGCTCTCCACGCTGCCCTGCTGCGAGACGCCGTCTGCCTGCGGCCTGGTGAACTTGCGCTTGCCGGGGCTCGCCGGAGGGCCTCCCCCGGTGGGCGACGTCACCATGGGCACGGGAGCGGAGGACGGCGCCGCGGGCTTGTTGTGCATGGTGAGCGCCAGCGGCTGCGCCTGCACTTCGTCCTCGTCCACCTCCACCGGGGGAGGGCGCATCCTGACCCCATCGCCGCCGCCACCGTCGCCGTCACCCAAGTGGGGTAGCTCGGGTCGGGAGGGCATGGCGATGCCATTCCGCTGGAGGGGCAACGGTGGACCTGCTGGCAGAGGGTGCAAACGGAATCGGAATCAGAAATTTTTATTTTACCCTGGTTGAAATCCGATGAGCTATGAAGCTATTTTTCACAATGTCCTGCGAAGGGGGGGGGGGGGGTGGGTGGGTGAGACCCTGGACAGAAAGGTACAACAACAAATAATACAAAAAGACGATAGGAGTGCAACGTTCGAATTGCATGAGTACACCAATTTCCAAGCTTCGGCAAGAGCAGCATAACAACAGCAAGAACAGTCCCAGACCACACCAACACAACAACACAGTCAAATGCAACGCGTGGCCGGCGTGAGCACGTGTGGTTTCCCGAGCGAGCAGCGAAACGCCACGCAAGTCGCACGCGACGCCCACGTACGACTCGAGGGCAAGTGACGTCGCAAGGGTAAACGCGCAGCCCTGCAAGAGCGTGCTCATAGCGCTGCTGGGCAGACGGGTCTTCACTCGAGAAAGCTCTCTCGAGGGAGCTCGCTCTCGTGGGTATCTGACCGAGTCTTCGAAGCTGGACAGACGTCTTGGATGAAGTGGCAGTCCCCACACCCGACCTGCAGATGAACGTAACGGTGGTGTACCCATTTACACCGCTGGGCGAACAGAGACACGGGGATTTCGCGACAAAAATCTGCCAATTGCTCTAACTGCCACGCAGAGAGATCCAACCATTGACCTGTAGATCGCAAGTCCAATGTGTTAACCGTTAAGACCGCGGCAGTGTCCCCGGCTGCATCATTAATGAACACATTAATGGCCTGCATTGGCAGTGGTGCGCGAGCATGATAAACACCAAACAGGCCTCCTCATCTCATCGCATTGTGAGTCCATCATCACGGAACTCACTGTCATAATTATTATACAGTCACCATATGTGGGATACTTTAAACGACGTTTGCTTGCATTCTGCATTTCCATTCCGTCGAGTGTATTTTTGTCAACACAATGGTGAAATGTCCTCTTTTGGAAGACGGCAACTCGCATAACTGCAATTTTCCGTAACATTTAAAATATATATTTGAAGCCACTGAAAGCAACCTTTAATGTGCAGCCAATCCGCCCACACTCATCCGCAGACCAGAAGGGTTTTCAAAGCCACAGTGCAGCACAGCCTCCTGTCTTTGATCGGCAGACCTTCCTGTCCTCGGGCAAGCTTGCCACCACCTGTGGCTGGCTTTTGAAGGGGGGGGCGGCATCGGTCTGCATCTCCACATTGTCTAAAAGATTAATCAACGTGTCCACCACTCCTTAGAACCCTTTGTTGTGCCTCTCCACCTTACCGATGGTATCATCATCAACACCATCCCTTATCCCTTTCCCAAGGGGTGCAGAGCCCCGCCAATTACCTCCAATTAGCCAATTTCACCGTAACAACACGCATCAGCGTAATTCGCCATGACACTCAATAGACTTGGCACGGATTCACTATTTGTTTTTTCTCAGGCGCGCACACACACACACGCACGTTACTGTACACTGTATTGTTTTATTCATCAAAAGGAAACATCTTCAACACGGCGCTTCAAAGACTGAAACCTTTCCGAGAAAAAAACACAGAAACTTCCAATAAGCGTTGATATCCACTGGCAAACCCGTAGCCCGTGGCCACACTTTGAACGCAAACTACATCAAAAGGCCACACACTTGGTTGGTCACGGGGCCATGGGTGGTGTGCTGTCTGTCACGTGTGGGAGGCTGACGGGTTTACTCCGGGGTGCAATGACTGTATCGCATTTTCATTTCCATCAGTGGTCCACGGTTTGCGGAAAGCTGCTGGAACAATCGGCAGTAACCACGGGGCCTGCTCGTGTGCGTCGGCCCATGATACGCAAGCTATCCGCTACCCTGTTACCCGTCACTCATTTTCCGAGGAAACTCTCGGGGAGCGTGAAAACTCCCGATTATCCGCAATCATCCGTGGTTGCTCCCGTCCCGCAACGCAGCGCGGCGTCCGATTAACGACGATTTCATTTCACAAGCGGCGTGGCACGGCAAGTTCATCCTCGTACCCGCGGATTCATCTGCGATTTTCCTCTGCAGACGAGTGGGGCAAATTCGCGGATGACTTCCACACGGCGCTGTGGGTGGAACGTGCAGGGTGGTCCAGATGTCTTGTGACGCCCCCCCCCCCCAATTCTCTAAAAACTCGAAACTAATTTAAGTACGGTTTATTCAAAACATAAATGAATATGCAAAGGTAAAACGAAATTCGAGGTCATTTCATTTGGGGTCACAATACATTCGGACCACCCTGTACATCTCAGGTTCTATTATATGCGCGATGTCCGTCCATTGCCTATTGCAGGGGGCGCCGATTATTGTCCAAATCAAGCTGTCCACATGTGATAGCAAACACCGTATCATCACGCATTACTGACCCGCTCCTGCGAGGTTCTTAACGAGGGGATGAGTAGGGGGAGTGGAGAGACGCGATCTATACGAACTGTGTTCCCAAGCAACAGCAAGACAAAGATCCCCCGTGTAGCCTTAACAGACTGCTGGGGCAAGTGCTGTTAGCGAGCACCTATGAGGGCCGGAACGGTACACGAGGGGGTGGGTGGCCAGCACCACGCCCGGCTGCCTTTGTCTCCCGAGTGGCGATGATTTTTACACACCACAACAGGTACTCATTTGAGGCTGAGTCGACCTTGGAGCGGTCCAGATAATAATAACTGGTGTTGGGTGTTCGTGAGCGGGGATAGAACTCGGGTCGCCGAGTTCAAAGCGCAGCGCGCTAATCGCTGCACCACCGCTCCCCAACAACAACAACAACAGCAGCAGCAAACAACCTCACCTGAGCATCCGAGCAGGGCAAACTTCCCATTCTTGATCGTGTCGAGCAGAGTCAAGATGTCCATGTCGCCGAGGCTGGCGGGCAGTTTGGCGGTGCAGCGCGCCGCCTCAAAGAGACAGCGGATGTCCTGGAGGTGCGCCAGCGTGTCACCTTGCAGGAGGAGCAGCCGTCCCCGGCCACTCAACTCCCTATCTGCGTGGCTAGAACTGCCACCAATCTCCAGTCTTACTACCGCTGCTTTCACACCGCACCCCCCACCCCCGCCGCCGCCTCCAACGCACACGCACACACGCGCGCGCGCGTGAGAAAAAAAAATCGAACGTTGTTCGTGAGATTTGAAAGCGTGGCCAATCGCCAGCCCCGGTACGAGGGAGCCTCGTGAAGAGCGGTGGTCGCGCACTGTTCACTCTTCAGTCTTCACAACCATCACCGCCCCCCCCCCATGTCGGCAACAGCCCGAGAATGGAGTGAGACGCCTGTGCCCCCCTCCCCCCCCGACAAAAAATATTTTAATTCAAAGACCACGCACGGACGACTGTTCGGAGAAAATATCAAACTTTTTTTTCCCCACGATTTCTTTTGTAGAAACCGAGTTAGCCCCCGACCCCCTCCCTTTAGAGCCTTGTCGCACTACCACTGCATTAGTGACCCCCTCGACCACCCGCTCCTTGGTCTTGCAAGTGTCTTCCCCGGTCCTGCAGTCTCACTCCGCCTCTTTCCAGCTGCCGTGTGGGTGGAAGAAGGATCGGGCATTGAGAGAGCGGAGCGGCTGCGTTGAGATTTTTGGGCTATTCCGTGCGACTCGAGGAGCGCGCGCGCGATTGGCTGAGCGAAAGAAAGGGGGGTGACACGGGCAGCTCTCTGCATCCACCTCCCTCCACACACGCCTCTCTTAAGGATACCAAGACAAAACAAAGATCCCTCTTATATATTGCCTTTAGCGAAGTGTTCTTCACTCAATTTCAGAAGGGCGGGCGGGCGGGCGGTGAGGACGGCGGGACACTTTTGCCGATGAGACAGCATCAGTGTGTGAAGGTTTGCCACACCATGTTGAAACCATTCGGGGTTGAACAGCACGATGGCGATGGGGGTGTTTTTACATGTTGTGTATTGTCGGGGGCAGCACTCAAGGCCGTGGGCGTTGCAATGAGGAACACTGCTTTGGCAGGCTGTCCGAGCAAGTGCTGTAAGCGAGCACCTATTAAGGCACACGAGGGGAGGGAGTGGGGTGGGTGGCCAGCACCACGCTCGGCTGCCTTTGTTTCCCGAGTGGCGATGATTTTTACACACCACACCAGGTACTCATTTGAGGCTGAGTCGACCTTGGAGCGGTCCAGGACCGTTTCGGATAATCATAACTGGTGTTGTTGGTTGTGAGCGGGAATCAAACTCGGGTCGCTGTGTTCAAAGCGCAGCGCGCTAACCGCTGCACCACCGCTCCCCATATTGTCACACATGCAGCGTCCTCACACATTGAGTGCTTCTGAGCCCCCCCTCCACCAAAACAAGTTACACTTATAATCTCAGGTTCAGAGCACAAACCCGAGATAATGTTTTGTTATTTCCTGGGATTGCTTGGACATATCATTTCCACTTGAGGATGATGAGCGGAACACACTTTGCTACCAATACTTTTGTTTGCAAATTTCATCGTGGAAATCATGCGACGCGGGGACATCTACTGGACATGTGAAAAAGAGCTTTATAGCTCGTCAGATTTCTCCATTAGAAATGAATATTCTGATTCTGACACTGTGCGGAGTTTAACGACACATGTTAGATTCGTCCATGCATATCATCGTCGTCTTCGTCATTCTCGCTTGCAGTGCATCTTCGAGGCATCAGAGAAAAGGGGCATGGCAGATAACTAGACGGGATTCACCCGTTCGGAGAATGGATATGACATGTGGTAAACGGACGGGGAACGCTCTGATAGGCTGCACGAAAACTCGAGTTCCACGCCAGAGAGAATGCAATAGACAACCACTTACCCCCCCCCTCCCCTCGTTGATCTAAAAATGAACAAGAGACACTTAACACAAAGCTAGAACAAACCCATGATGTCATCCCTTTCTACAGACATACAAAAAGGTATTCTTTAAGAGCAAGCTAATGAATTCTTGGATGGCCAGAAAGGGAGAGCCTTGCTCGAAAAAAATGAGGTTTGGGAAACTGCGGGGCGGGGTGGGGAGTGAGAGTAGGAGGAGTGGGGAAAAGGGCAAGAGGGTTAGGCTGAATGACAAACACCTCCCCTACCCCCCCCCCCTTGTAGACCCGCTCACCACCACCACCCACCAAAACCAACTAACCCTACCCCGCAAACTGTGGCCTTCCAAATACGCCGGCAATTCCTGGTATTCCAAACGCGTTATTCCAAATGCGCGCGAGCGAGAGGAATGTCCCCACTGCGCTGCCCCTGCCACCGCTGTGGCGTCTTCTCTCGCATTACGCAACCAGCATTACCTCGCACTGTGCTGCTGCAGGTGTGCATGGGCACTACTGGCCAGGCCATCGGTCGTTTGTTGTTATTTGGAGTTCCTCCCCCTGGCATTTTGTTTTTCTTTCTGGATTCTATTTGCTTCATTGCTTATACTTATTAAAACTTTTTTGTTATTTTGCTTTTGTTATTTTGGTGGCCCAAGTCGCTACTCTTGCACTTGAGACTTCGTCCTGGTTTCTCCCACCCGGTTAAACAAAATAAATCTGAAACAACTCTACGCCGTGTCATCATCATCATCATCGGCCCTTGCTTACCCACTGCTGGACGAAGGCCTGCCCACTCCGTCATCATCCCTCACGGCCCAGAGCTCACTCGTGCGCATGAACCAATCTCGGCTCCATCTCCTCGCTCGTTCGCGCTTCTCTCCTTTGGCTTCAAATCCGTCACCCTTGCCGTCGTCCGTCGACCATCGTCTCGTCTCGCGATTTAATAATAATTATTATTTAACGTTTGTTTTAAAGTGCATTTCATCCGTAGATCCCAATGCGTCGCCGTGTATGCAAGGCAGGAAATAAACAGAACCTGCAGGGTAAACGGCAAGAACTAGGCAGGGGGGGGGGGGGGTAAAGACCAATTTAAAGAGGTGATTTTTCACGACAGACTTAAAATATATGAATGGATTCTGACTGTTATTAGCAAAGGCAAAACATTCCATAGTCTGGGAGCTGCACTGGCAAAAGCCGGGATCACCCCAAGAACGGAGCCTTGGCCTCGGAGTGCTGAGGAGAAGGCGAACCGAAGATCTCAGGCAGATCGTTGGAGTCTAAAAATGGATCAGTTCTGTCTGCGGCTAACACATCGAGAGACTTGTAGGTCAGCAGCAGCAGGATCCTCTTTTTGCTTGACTGGCAGCTGATGCAAAAACAATAGAGGAGGTGTGATGTGCTCGCAAAACAGTGTGCGCGTGAGCCCAAGTACATTTTACTCCTATTAAGGTGGCAATATCCCTCTGTTTGTGCAGCGGCAAAAGTTGCCAGGTTAGTAAGAAATTGGTGAACGCTTTGTTCAAATATAGTGTGCATAAAGTTCATCATTAGAACGATGATATAAAAAATATTTTTTTTACATAGATCTTTTTTGCCTTCATGTCAGAGAAAAGCAAGCAGAAACCCTCCAGCTAAACATGCACCTATTAGATCATTACGAATAGGCTATATATACACCACTTCGAACCAGTCCCGCACGCAAAACATCCATCATAAATATATGATACAATTCGTGAAATAATAACGAGGTCAAATTTTTTTGTGCAGTTTTTTTTTCTTTCCTCTGGAGCATAAAACAATTTCCTAAACAAACAAAACCCGCTTCTCAATAAACGCGCAATGACACAAAATTACTTTCAAATGTGTACCGAGTCATTAGCAGCTGAAACGCAAGGCTGTGTAATTGAAGCATCTGCAAACAATATAGTTCATTTTCTACAGAGAAAACAAAAGTTTCGTCAGTTTCGAAAAAAAAAGAGCGCTTTGTGCGGAGCGTGGAGCAACAATTGCCATGTTCAAAGGACTTGCAATCACATCTGAAAGGCATTAAACATTTGCCATGTTTCCCTGTGAATAAACCGTTTATTAAAGCAGTGCAGAATCTCCAAGTTTTGTTTGCATTCAAAATGAATCCGCCTCATTTTCAACTACAAAGCTCACACCTACCGTTCTACTTTGAACTCTTGGTCATTGGTGTTTGGGTGACCTTTCAGCGTTTCAATAATCCACAGCATTGCACCTGCACCGTCGATGCGGCAGTGTGTAAGAGCGCTCGTTATACTTGGGCAAGGATGCTAAAAGTCAACCTTATCGGTAAACGTCTTTATTTAAGATTGTATTTTTAAATACTTCCGCATAACAAAATGCTGCACCGTATTAAATAAGACGGTATAAAATATCACGATAAACATAGCTGTAGTTTTTTCATCCAACATTAATTCTATACGAATTAGAATGTATATATGTATTATGTATATCTTTTACATATGTGACCAGTGGTTAGGTGCCCACACTTATGATTTGACATAAATTGCCATAATGAGTTCAGGGGTGAGTGGTGTTGCTATGCTTTCTCATTCAACAGGCCTCCTTAATTAATGGAGGCACACAATTGCCTTTCAACACCCGCCACCGAATTAATTCCCCTAACCTTTACAATGCCTTTGATGTGCGCAACACCAGAGCAGGGAATTCGGGTGACTTCTCAGACGCGCATCAAAACTGTACAATGCAGCCACCTTGTGGAAAAAAAATACAAGCACACACACCACGATTTTTTTTCTTCCTGTGACCCCTATCGGCAGAGACGATATGAAAGAAGTTTCACCTGACATTTGACAAAATCTACTTGACTGACTTGAACGCAAAAATATCCAGATTTGCTGCCTTTCGTGTGGTAGCGAGTTCACCACCGACGTTCAGGTTGGTGATTGAGCCAATGGGCAACTTCAGGAGTAGCCTCATGGTGAATATCTGCGATGCTGCTGGGGGGTGATCGAAGCGGGCAGTGGCTTTACTACATGGTCCTTGGTTTGAGATTGGTGACTGCAAGTCACACACTGGGCTATTCTTAATTTTACGTACGTATATATGTTGAACTTAATTATAGGGTTTTTCCCCTTTTTTCTGGCAATCAGTTTCAAGGACAATGCATAATTATCATAGTATGTTTTTTGTTTGCATTTTGACTGCAGGTATTGTGGTTAATGCAGACATGAATCCTTGTAAAAAGGTTTCAGTTTTGTTGCCAGAAAAAAGGAGAAAACCCCTATTATGTTTTGGTACTGGCAAAGGCGGTCTAATGATGATGATATGTTGAACTTCTTTTCCACCGTACGTAGCCAACCATGCTAATTAATCGGGCGTGCGGGGGGAAGGACAACAAACTGAACACACAAAGCAGTTCTAAAAAAAATTGTTTTCAATCTCAATTCTAAAGTGCATAGCTCCAGTGGCTTCCTAATATTGGAAGGAAGAGGCGTTCCAGACGGCCGCAGAAGCGCATCTGAAAGCGCGCGACGTAGTGACCGTCTTTGTTCGACGGCTCGCAGCCAAAAGCCGATTCTGCGAGTGTGACCGGAGTTCACGTGATGATGGTTTATGGTCCTTGACGAGGATCAGCAAGGTATTGTGGTGTTTCACTTGTGGCAAGCGCTTTGTGTGTTATATGAGCGCGACCTTACAACACTGGTTTAAGAGAGCCATTCTCACCGGCGGCGGTACTGCCTCCACTGATGTCGTTAGTTGGCCGTCGTGGCTTTATGGGGTTTGATAGTGGAAGCGGAGAGGCTTGTGGAGAGATTTGCTGATCCAAGACCAACGCCAGGGGGCCACTTGGGCTCACGGGGTGAACCAAGCCATCAGGTGTGACTCCCCACTAAGTTCGCACACGCGGTA